ATCAACTTTAATAGTTCATGATTAATTTCTATCATTGTCTTTCATCGCCATAAACTATGTAAGGACACTTTGGACCAGAGTCGTAATAATAATGTCAGAAAACCTACTTCATAAGCGGGAAGTCATCGGTTCCAACTTCAGACTGAAGCCCCACTAATCTCAGACCTCTTTTTTGAATTTTTCTAGGCAAATTCTGGGAAAGGGAAGTAGGTAATTATTACTTCTCATTCCTTCCCATTTTTACAGTTATAATTTCATTGGACTCCTAAGAAACAACGAACAATGCAATAATAATCACCCACATTCAGTAAATAAGAAATATGAAGCTTTGACGGGAGACTGGTAGAGATTTTTAAAATTATTTTCGTTAGTAAAAAGAGTAAAGCAAAGCTATCCAACTACACGCCATGTAGGCGCTTGGGGGGAGTGGCAGTATAGCTCCTACTAATTTTTAACATCGGCTCTAGGTAGGGGTGTGTGGTTAGCGTCACGCCTCGGCCGCGATTTACTCTCGGGAAAGGAGGCTGGGTGGGGCCCAAGAGCCGGTCTGGACGCAGAGACTAGAGGAAAAATCATCTGCCCCAGTTCGAGATCGAACCCCGGTTGTCCAGTCCGTAGTCAATAACAATACTGACTGAGCTACCAGGCTGGCATTTTCGTTAGTAGGCCCACTTAAATAATTTGCCGGGAATATTGCTTTAAACCGGACACGTTCCTCTCATCCTTTGCAAGCGACTATCTTCATTCACTGTTTCCAGTTCGATTACACATTAAGTCTGTAGTAGTTATAGATTGCATGGGGAAGTGAGAAATAAGCACAAAATTTTGGTCAGAGGAGCTTAGAGTAAGAAATGGGTTTTGAGAGCTTGGCACAATGTGAGAGGTTAATATTAAAACTGCCCTTACTGAAGAGGCGTCTAAGGTCGTGGACTGGATTCATGTGGTTCAGAATATGGTCTTTTCGTTCCTTAAAAATAGGGAATTTCTAGACAGGTTGAGTAATTAGTTCTCTTTATCAAGACTGCACAATGAATGAAATGTTAATTAATAGAGCTCAGCAAATGAATTAAAACAATCAGTTTTGTGACACTTCAGGACTTTGGTCTGAAGACCTTTGAACTGAATCAAGCACCAGACTTTCCATTTATTAAATCAGATTCTTGCTACGGATAAATTGCATATTCAGTGAAGAGACAGAAATTTCCTGACCTTGCTCAGAAATCAATGCTTTGAAGGTTTTTACTGTATCCACCGTGGAATCAATAGAAGTGAACAACAGTCCTTTGCAGTACTTGGCATATCTGATTAAAGGAATTTCCCCACTGTACTTCTCAGACACTATAAGGGGAAACTATATTACAGACTGATGATATCTGTAGTTAACAAAATATTACACATAAAATGAAGTCTCCTCTTGAACAATATTTGTCCCAATGGTTAATAAAAATTATTGCAGGCCAATTCTATCACATGTAAGTGGGCCAAATTGCATAGTAGGAAAAGTGGTATTACAGCCTCTTTTAAGATCTTACAGTCTCACAGCAGTGAAGATGATGTTGCTCTTCTGGATTCTGATGTTATGTTGTAAGCATCAATTATTACAGTTTTAATTACACTGAATGCATTTTCCCCTTTTTAGAGCATCGTTGATGGATTTGATCCTGATAAATTTCGGAGAGCCAATAAGAAGGTACGCATACTGTCACCTTTCTAGAGCACTTCACCTCATAACTTTGTAATATTCTGTTATTTTAACTGACAGAATTTACAACCATAAATGTCCAAAATGTCTGACACATGTTATATCATCTACACATGGTAGAAGTGTAATCAGTAATGCAATCCAAGAGAAAATCAGTATGTATTTATGTAATTCACATTATTATTCGGTTCCCTCCCTCTTATTTCTCATCCAATAGATTCCACTTTTGATTTTGTATATGGATGCCAGATATAATTAATGAGACATTAACTGTGTTTCCTGTCCCTTCAGACACATGGCACAGTACCTTAAAATATGACTTGCTTTTATATCCACCAGAAATCAACATTAAAATCAGTTTTCAACTCAACAAATGCATGTGTGAAGCTAAGAAATAAGATCACCTGACCCTACAGATATGCACAATATCCACTTAATATTCAAAGGGCCAGTAAGTCACTCCAATGTCTATAACAATGAAAACTTGCATTATATTTTAAAAAATTATTTCACTTTTCACCAACTACCTGATTCTATTCAATGTTGTAAGAAACAACTGAAGTATGATCTTGGTTTCTTGTTTTGTGGTGTCATTGGTTTTACATATGATAGTATTGCTACAAAAATGAATGCCAGAATAATTACTATTTTTAATTAATCTGCAGACTTTATGTAAAGCTGTGATGTTAAATTGTAATTTGTTTCATGTGTATATTAAATAAAGAATGTAGATCGTAGGTGCCTAGTAACAAAGTACCAAGAAGGATATTTGTCACAGAAGAGACAAAGAAGCAATGGAATGAAAGAAAAATTAGTCATGACATTCGTTAAGTTGTGTTCATCACATAAATCACCAAGGATGTGATAAGAGGCATTGTGGCACATACTGGGAGAATGTAGTAGATTGGTTGGAAAACCTAAGGGGAAGAGACGTGCACAGACAGGAAAATAATATTAAAATGCAGTTGACAGATGTTGAAAAAAGAAGGGAGGAAGCAGTTAAGAGTTATCACATATTCATTAAACATTCTCTCTAAATGTTCTGGCAGCATGCATGCAGAAGACATCTTGCAATGTTGGTCTTCTAGATTTTAACACCATGTGGACAACCTAGAAGATCAACATCTTCACTGCTGTAAGAACCTTGAATCTCACAATAACTTGCACTTCCCCTTACTAGGGTAACTGTTGTTTCAGTCATTATGAATGCATCTATTTAAAGAAGAAAGCACTAGTAATGGTGACTGCAGAAATAGAGATACTTTATCTTATTACACATTCATTTCAGGATGCACTGAATGAGGGAAAAGAATCATCTAGTTCAAAGTAAGTATGACTCATGTAAATAATGGTACAAGAAAAACTTAAACATGGAGAAAAAAATTGTCTTTACAAATACTGATACAAAGGAAATAAGTTAAATTATGTGGTTCAGGTTCATGTCCTATGACAGATTTGGTGTTAGGTGTATTAAAAATCTTTGGTACCTATTAGCAGATAGGTGGTTAATGGTTCACTGTGTCTGTCTGTATGCATGTTTAAATTCAAGAGACAATACAGCTAGCATGTGAGATAAATTCCATTTTGTTATTATAAAGTTTCAAAGTTTGTCTGTCTAATAGGTTATACAAGCCATGTTAACATACAGTACATAATTCATGTATCGAATAGTTTGTAATATACAAATAAAGAAGTCAAAGTCCTCTATTTTAAACTATGCTATCCTCTGAACATTTGGCAACTTTATCTTACCTTGCTTGAGCAAAGGGTTTTGGGCTTTCACTAAGTATATCAAAGATTCTCATTCCTGCCCAGCGGTTATGATAAAATTAGA